CTGTGGGAGGAAGGAGACACAACGTCCTTAGTTATGCGTTGTGTTGATCGCTTTGTGAATGGGAATTGATTTGAATGAATATAAACGGATATGCAACCATGAGGTACTGAAGTGTGTATGGGTGGTTGTGCAGATGTTTAAATATGTACAACTATGTATATGTAGATTTGTCTGTGTGTATATACATGTACTCACATACATATACACACTCACATACACATGCATAAACTTTTCTATGCCTAGCTAGCTAGCCAATCAGAGTGCGATACTTATTATAAATATATTCCACGTAGATCTCAGATCGGAATTTATATTTTCATTAATTACAAATCATATTTCGTATATAAAGACGCATAAAATGTTTTTTTGTGCCTTATAAGCAATACATCAAATACAAGTTCACTCTATATGGAAATCCGTAATTAAGATTGCTGGAACGACCTGGTAAGAATTTGCAACGCGTCCGAGTCATATGGTAATGACTTCGGTCTGATATCTTCAAAATCATTTTGTACTGACTTCATCAATCTTTACAGATTTACAAATATCAAAGCAAAGGTTGTGTATTCTGATTTGTTGACATATTACAAGCACTAAGACAAGTAAACGCTAGTGATCATTGGCATTATCAAGTTATGTGAGATTCGGACTTTGATGGATAATATGCAAAACTTCAAACAAAATTACTTACACTTTCCGCGTGAATAAATTTAAAAAAAAAAAAAAAAAAAAAAAAGATGTTAAAAAAAATAAAAATGTTTTGTCTGAATCTGAGAAACACATTTGAACTTTTCCACAGCCCTGCGAAGCGAAGCGTGAAGTGTGAATGTATACTGCAGAAGAGTCGGGTACTATTCCCATTTCGTTTCAAGTTTCCCTAACGTTTTACTTCAAATTAAAATCACACCGGCATAATAAATAGTTTAATGATTTCATGTTGACATTTCTGGATGAAATAAAGTGAAATAACATCAAAGTGTTCGGGATGCTATAAAAAATTTAAAAAGGCCAGGTATACTTTGACACGTGTTTCCATCTGCGCGTGCGAGTGTGTGCTTTTATACATCCACAGATTAACTGCACATAAAGCAATCTGATCTTTTCCCGACCTCTTCTGCTAAAGACATTGAGACCACCTTTTACATCACTGAATATTAAGCTTTTAACAAAATTGCTTACTATTTAGAACACAAACAAAGTAGGGAGTGTGTGTTTCCTTCCTACTTTTGAAAATTAAAGTACGGAAGACTGTAGGGGTAATATTACACCTTTTATGTACAGTAGGGTGGAACGGGAAGGGGAAGGGAACTAAATATGTGAGAGAGATGAAACTATAGTGAAACTTTGGAACGAGTATATATATATATATATATATATATATATATATATATATATATATATATATATATATATATATATATGCATATGAATATATGTATTTATATATATTCACACACACACACATACACACACAAACACACACACACACACACACACACACACACACACACACACACACACACACACACATATATATATATATATATATATATATATATATATATATATATATATATATGTACATATATATATATATATATATATATATATATATATATATATATATATATATATAATTAACTTTATGTGTGTACTAAGAGGACGAAGGAAGAGCGAGAGAGATGCAAAAAATGAAAAAACTTATATATATATATAATACTAAAATTTAAAAAGACCGCCATCACGGAACAATACCCAATTGTGTTCCAGAATCCCCGTCCTATCATTTTTTTTTTTTTTTTTTTTTGTCTTTCTTTCTTTTTTTTCTTCTTTTTTGTTTTCCTGATAGTCGGTTTACTTAACAAACTGGGTAATTAAGGTAAGTGAATATTCACTAGCGCCAAATACACCGGCATCTCTGCACTTCAGGTTTCATATGATAACGTTAAAAGCATTAAAGAAGAGAGAGATAGAGAGAGAGGCAGAAAAAATATGTGATTATATGCCTTATTAGTGAACTAAAAGGCTGTGTTTATATTTTGATGTGTCGAGAGAAAGAGAGGGGGGTGAGAGGTAGGGAGGAAAGAAGGAAGGGAGGGAGGGAGAGAGGAAAGAAAGAAGGGAGGGAGGAGGAGAGGAAGGGAGGGAGGGAGGGGAGGCAGGGAGAGAGAGAAGAAGGGAGGGAGGTAGAGAGAGAAGAAGGGAGGGAAGGAGGAGGAGAGGAAGGGAGGGAGGGAGAGAGGAAAGAAAGAAGGGAGGGAGAGAGGAAGAAAAGAAGGGAGGGAGGGAGGAGGAAGGAAAGGAGGGAGAGAGAGAGGAAGGAAGGGATGGAGGAAGGAAAGGAGGAGAGAGAGAGGAAGGAAGGATGAGAAAGAAAGAAAGAAGGGAGGGAGAGAGGAAAAGAAGGGAGGGAGAGAGGAAGAAAAGGAGGGAGAGAGAGAGGAAGGAAGGGATGGAGAAAGGAAAGAAAGAAGGGAGGGAGAGAGAAAAAAAAGGAGGGAGGGAGGGAGAGTTTATATATGTATTGTATATGTATATGCAGTTATTTTTGTAGATTTGTATGTATGTATGTGTATCCATATGTACGTACAGACAATATGTGTGTGCGTACGCGTGTGTGTGTTTGTATGTCTGTGTATATGCGTGCCCGTGTGTACGCGTGTTTTCGTGTATGTATGCGTGTCTTTTTTATGTGTATGCGTGTTTTTGGGTGCGTACGCATGTTTTCGTGTGTGTATGCGTGTTTTCGTGGTTGTATGTTTTTTATCGTGTGCATGCGTGTTTTTGCGTGTGTATGCGTGTTTTCGTGGTTATATGTTTGTTTGTTTTTTGTGTGTGTATGCGAGTGTATGCGTGTTTCCGTGTGAGTATGCGTGTTTTTTTGTGTGTATGCGTGTTTTCGTGTGGGTATGCGGGGTTTTGTGTGTGTATGTGTGCGTGTGTATGTATCCTATTTGCAACATCTTGGAGTTTACAGCTCCGAGCAAACCTTCCCCTCCGTCCTGTTTACGCCTCCTGTTGACGCGCATAAACACAATCCCCCTCGAACTTTTTTCTTTTTTTTTACCCTAATCTCCGATTTCCGATCTTCCACGAGGTCTTCCTCCATCCTCCCCCCCCCACTTCTTCTGCTCCTCCTCTTCCTCCCCTCTCCCTACCTCCCATCCCTCGTCCTTGTGTTCTCCCTCCTCCTCTTCCTCTTCCTTTTCTCCTTACTTCCTCCTCTCACTCTTCCTTTTCTCCTTACTCCTCCTCTCCCTCCTCTCCCTCTTACTTTTCTCCCTCCTCCTCCTCTCCCTCTTCCATTTTCTTCCTCCTCCTCCTCTCCCCCTTCTTTTTCTCCCTCCTCCTTTCCTTCTTTTTCTCTCTCCTTCTCTCCCTCTTCCTTTTCTCCTTCCTCCTCTCCCCCTTCTTTTTCTCCCTCCTCCTCTCCCTCTCCCTTTTCTCCCTCCTCCTCCTCTCCCTCTTCCTTTTCTCCCTCCTCCTTTCACTCTCCCTATTCTTCCTCCTCCTACTCCCCCTCTCCCTACTCTCCCTTCCACCCCCCCCACCCCCCCCACCCTACCCTCCCTCCCTCCAGTCTTCCTTGCAAGCAAACTTCCAGATTAAGGATTTTTTTCATTGTAAGTCATTGGATAAAAAATGAAAATGGGAAATGGAGAGGCAGAAGGAGGGAAGGAAGGAAGAAGGGAGGGTGGGAAGTGGAGGAGGATGAGAAGGAGGGGGAAGAGGAGAAAAAAGAGGAGGAGGAGGGAGGAAGGAAGAAGAACGTTGGGAGGGGAGAGGAGGGAGGGGAGGGAAAGGGAGGAGAGGAAAGAAAGGAAGGGAGGGAGGGAGGGACAGAGAGGTAGAAGGGAAAGAGAGAAAAAGGGGAGTGAAGGAAAAAGGAGAGAAGGAAGGAAAGTTAGGGATGGAAAGAGAGAGGAAAAAAAAGAAGAAAAAACTCTTCCCATTCGCTCCTTTACACAATTAATAATCTATGAAATATGTATTTAAGAAACAATTTTCTTCTTTTAAAAAATATAAAAAATAACATAAGAAAAGTCTCTTGTCTCACGGATTTGCGAATCGCTTTACTTAATCGTTCCTAGCAACTTGGGAAAGAACCCCGTGTCTCTACATAAGAAAAAAGAGCTCTTACACGGTAATGCATCGTAACTTTCGGCCGGTACGAAAAAAAAAACGCTTACTTACTCATATCAAGGCCTTTAAAGAGCATTTTGAGTGCAGATTTTGAGTGGTGGGATGAGGGGGGGAGGGGATGAAGGAGAGAGGGAGGAAGGGAGGGAGGAGGGGGTCAGGGAGAGAGAGAGAAATAGTGAGAGAGAGAGAGAGAGAGAGGGAGGGATGAGGGGGGGAGGGAGAGAGGGAGAGAGAGAGAGGGAGGGATGAGGGGGGAGAGAGAGAGGAGGGAGAGGGAGAGAGAGGGAGGGAGGGGGAGAGAGAGAAAGAGAGAGGGAGGGAGGGAGTGAAAGGGAGAGGGAGAGAGAGAGAGAGAGGGAGGGAGGAGAGGGAGAGGGAGAGAGAGAGAGAGAGGGGGGGAGTGAGAGAAAGAGGGGGGGAGGGACGGACGGACGGAGGGAGAGAGGAGGGATGGAGAGAGAGAGAGCGAGAGAGAGAGAGAGAGACGGGAACACAGAGATAGAAATTCAGGAAGACAGAAACCCAGGAATAAAACACAGAAACAGCGAGGACAGAATTTTAGAATAGGGAAGGAGAAAGTTTGACATGTACGAGTTTCAGTTAAACATACTACAAATAAAAGGGGGAATTGAAAACAGGATGAGAGAGAGAAGAGAAGGGAGAAAAATAGAAGTAGAAGGAAGAGAGGAAAAAAAGGAGAGTGGAAAGGCAGGGTGAGATAAGATAGAAACGGAAGAGAGGGGGAAGAGGAAGAGGGAGTGAGAGAAAAAGAGCGAGAAAGAAAGGAAAGAGAATATAGATAGAGAAAAACAAAAACAGAAGAGAGAAAATAAAGGTAAAGTAAAGAAATTCTAAAA